TGTTAGAACCGTGTAATGGGATCTGTCGAATTGACAATGGAACTATCAAAAATTCTGGTCCTGGTCCCAGACACAGTCACACGGTCAGTCTAATGATATCTGATGCAATCAGTCACAGACTTAATTTCATGAATGAGAGTTCTGCAAATCAGATATAAGAGAAGTTCATATTAAATATACTGAGAAGATGCAAGAAATCAGAATGAGCAGACACAATAATCTCTTATTTAGAGAATGACAAGATATTGAATAATAAGTATCTTATAAAAGTGATGGAAGAGATACTTCTGAACTTCAAGCTGAGAAAATTAAAAAACAATATTATGCTTTATTACAATCTAGAATACACAGAAGCTCTCTATCTAGAACATTCATTTAGATGTGACTTGATAACTCATATACATAAGAAATTCAGTTACTTAGAAAGCTCTGAACTCATGAATATACTTAAATCAAGAGTATACTGACCAAGCATGACTGAGAACATTCAGACATACACTCATAAATGCCCGAATTGCCAGGTTATAAAAGAATCTAAGAAAGAGTTGAAATGTGAGAAAGCACAACATCAGATGAAATATATGATATAACTATTCAAATAATGAGAGATGAATCTCATAGACATACTGCTATAAATATCAAATGAAAATCAATGAATAATCACTGCTATTGATTACACTACTGACTGATCAGTTATAAAAGCAGTTTCAGAGATAACAGAAAAGATGATGATGAAGTTTCTATATAATGAGATTTATATCAACTATGAAATACTGTATGAGATTCTAACTGATAATGATGTGAACCTTGTAGAAGAAGTAGTGACGCATTTCATGAGTCAGTTATAGATAAAATATTGTAGAACAATATTATATCATCTGCAGATAAATAGAAAGATGAAATACTTAAATGAAATCCTGAACAACATACTGATGAAATATTCAGTGAGTAAGTCAATGAGACTATGAAATGAATATCTCAGACAGGCACTATTAGTCATGTGAATTTGATAGTATGCAGTCTTCAAGCATTGATCATTCTACCTGTTGTATGAATTGCATCTGCATATTCTGAAGAATGCTTTGAAAAAGATGAAGAAGAGAACAGTGATTGCAGACATATCAGTTGCAGACACAGCAGGAATAATAGTTGCAGATGTAACAGTCACAGACATAGCAGTTACAGACATGAAATCAAGATTGAAAGAGATCAGCCATGCACATGCAAAAGCTAATAAGTTACTTCTGAATCAAGCAATTCAATTGAAAAGAATATAAGACTCACTAGTTAAGAAATCAAGTTTCAAGATGAGAATATATGTTCTCATATACAATGAGAGTTCTGAGAAGTTTCAATCTAGATAATTTAATCTCTATAAAATACTCAAATCACAGTCTCTGAGAACATATGCATTGAAGAAACCAGAGAAATAGGTCTTATATAACTTAATAAATGATTTATATCTTATAAAGATGAAGATGTAAGATCTGAGTAGATTATGATTATTCACAGCACTCTCATCAGTATTGAAAAAGAAGAGACTTATAATTGAAAAGTCTTGTGAAGTAAGAGAAATCATAGATACTTACAAATCAGATAATCTCACTTATTCTGATCTTTTCATAATTATAAGAAAAGAATGAGAAGAAATAAAGAAATTAGATAAATATCACACTTCAATAAGTGATGAGACTGTAGTCAGTCATATAATAACACACTGCAGATAGTGAGTGTAATGCAGTAAAGAGCAGTCTCAAAGTAGCAGTCTTACACATAAGTCAGATCACAGAAGAAAAAGAAATTCAGAGTTAGATTTAACTCTTTACACCAGTTCAATCACAGAGATAATAGAGGATGAAGCATCTGAAATATCTGTGAACGTGTGAAACCAAGTCATCTCAATCTCTGAAGATGCTTAGAGATCAGATGAAATTAGTTTCAATGAGTTGTTCACTGTAGTGATCTGAGCAGGTGAAGAGAGATAGTATAATGCATGAGACAGAATCACAAGATGAAAGCTGCTGAATCTAGTCACTGAATACTGTATTATATAGAGATTGTGTAAGAGTAGTGACTAGCAGACAAAGAAAAAGTATAAGAAAGAAAAGAGATAATGAATTAATTATCAATTATATGAATTGACTGTAAAAAGACAAATGTTATTATGCACATCTTATTTATTTTCATATATTACATGTTTAATCTATTTTCAATGCCACATCACCTGAAAAATGTCAAAAATAAAGAAAATCTCAAAACTCAAGATCTGTAAGAGATTCAAGAACTGCAAGCTACTCTTACAATAATACTATACATATCTTCAATTTCTCTATCACTCTGTGTACAACATTAATATCATTTATCACAAGATTGACTGAAATATCAATATAGAAATGTGTACACATGTATGTAGAAAAATTGAAGAGGATCACAGAATTCACAGAATCAGAAGTCAAGACAGAGAAGATAAAGACAGAAGAAATAACAGAGGAAAAGAATGCAGAACTGAATAAATAACAGCAGAAGTCATCTGAGACTAAATATATATAACTCAGTGTATGCACAATCTTCTCTACAGAAGAGAGAGAGAAAGCAATAGAAGAAGCTTAAGAGTGAGAGAAAGTAGTCTTGACAGTGTTATCATCTTTGATTAAAATAGTCTTTGATACTGGAGTAACTAAGAACTATTGTTCATGTATAAACCTGTAAAAGCAGAGATAATAATTACTGAACAAACATCTGCTGATCTTAGAATTGTATATATAATTACAACATACACAAGGCTTCTCAGAAAGAGAGAGAGAGACACAGAGAAATGCAGAAAGTAGAACACAGCATATAAATAACTGATTCTCACCACAACATTTCAGATAAGATATATGAGTCTCATGTCTGTGAATGTAAAAGAGTACAATATCTGTGTTTCTGTTTCTGACAATATAAATATTCTTCACCTGTATCATGAAGTTGAATGATAAATACCAGAGAATAGACTGATATAAGTCAATTATTTTGAAGATATTTATCAGAGTGAATGTATCTGTAATATTGAATTTAACAGTTATAAAAGGTTTCTTGATATCTGTGAACATCATAACTTTATATATAATAAAACTTATAATGATTTCTTATAAGAACAGAAAAATCAGTGTTAGAAAGAAAAGATGAAAAAAGAAAAGACTTATAATCTCAACACTGTTGAGAAGAGAAGTGATTCTCTGATATGAATGAACAATTGTCTTATCATGAGTACTTAAAATAAATGTAATAATTGACATCTGTGACTGAGCTCTAGATAGTTGTATCATACACAGTCTTCATATAATAAATTGTTTTAGAGGTTGATAAGAAGGACAGAAGTGTACACACTGAAAAATGTGATTTATTAAGTCTATACAACATCTTCTTGAAATGAGAAGAGCTGATAATGAAAGCAGAGATGATAGAAGCAGAGAGAGCAGAAGTTATGAAAGTGAGAATTGCAGGAACAGAGATAGTGAAAGTGAGAGAACTGAAAACAGGGATAAGAATAGACAATTAAGAGAGAGCAGCAGAGAGAGAAACAGTGATAGAAGAGGCAGAGAGAAATGCAGAAGACTCAGTTATACATGATATAAGTAATTTCTTCATTATCATATTCTTTAAGTTTTCAAGCAATGATTCAACATTGAGATTAGACTGACTGTGTGACCGTGTCTGAGACCAGAATCAAACTTTATAGTTATTATATTGCCTACTAGCATTACTTCTGATCATAATTTATATTTATTACATTAATTTCAAATCATGTTATTTCAAATATTAAAGATCTCAGATTCACTTTTCAAATAAAAATCTAGTCTTAGATAAAGAATATATTTGAATTCTTAGTTATATTTTTATTCTGATCTCATTATTAAGAATGATATTAAATGAGATTATGAAATCATTTCTCACTTACATTATATTATAACATAGTACTCATTTATTGAAAATTCAATAGAGAGTATTATTAAATATTGTTACTTTTCTGAACATAAATTATAATTTATATAATTTTAATTATAAAAAAAATATAAAATATAAAAAATAAAACAAAAACAAGAAAAAATCACAATAAAAAAAAAAGAGAAAGAGAAAAAAATAAAAGAAAAAGAAAAAAATAAAAAATAAAAATAAAAAATGTGGTTCGGAAGAACGTACGACCGTCAGATAATAACGCGGCCGCTTCCGAACTACTAGCGTACGCGTATGAATGTAAAGGGGCCCTAGCAGCCGCTAATTAATTTAGCATACAAGATTCAATATATAAGAAGCCGGCGTACGCCTGTAATCATATGCTGGCTTAAGCAATCTTTGAATCACATCTGATAGCATGTCTAAAAACCAGTGAGAAGCGCAGGCTCCTCCAGGGTGTGATAATTCTGTCTATGAAGCAATTTGTAGTTATCATGCCAGTGTGGTTCTAGAATGTCTCAAAAGATAGTGTACAAAGAGTGGTGAGCAGAAGAGCATTTGATTGATACTGCTTCACTTGTTGAGGGAAAACTCCATGCCCAGGCGAATGCCATGTATGAGATGCAAACAGATAAGATGTGAGAAAGGAGATGAAAGTGATGAACCAGATTCAAAGAAGTCCACTCCCTACCCAGAAGAAGGATAAAAAGAGAGAGATGGCCATCATCAGAGTCATACAATGATAACAGAAATCATATAATGATATAACAATACAGTAATATAATAATAGACATCATACAATCAACAAGAAAACCACTGAAATGAATACCTCTTCTAGCTGATATGAACAACACTCTTCTCTGCTACCTGAACTGAAAGGTATACAGAACCTCTCAGAGAAATTACTTAAAGTAGTAAGAAAAGCAGCTGAGACAGCTGAACTGGAATCAAAGCTCTGTATGTGTATGAGAATTCTAAACAAAATTAAGGCCTTGCATACACAGTGACAGGCTGAGGTGAAAGTCAAATAATAATTGACATTCACTGCAGATTAAGCATTCACTATGAAGAGCTTTGCTGACATAATCATCATTATCAATAAGAATAGAGAAAACCAGATCTTAGATCTGCAGCAGAAGATCAAATGTTTATACAGACAGATAACTATGTCAAATCTGAAGATCTTATCACAATTGTTCATGATCTCTTCAGAAGTGTACACATCATCAGAGACTGCTGTGCAGAATGAGAATCTGAGCATGAAATACATCAAGCTGAGAGATCTGCTGAAGCTATCAAGCTTCAATGACAACTGAAAAAATGATGCTGTAATCAGCTAACTAAGTCAGATGCAATCATATTATCAGATTGAATATGAACTCACAGACAGACAGTCAATGAAATTCCAACAAGTCTTAAGATCTGTCATGTTTCTACACAGAAAAGTAAAGTCATTATAAATGACTGATGAAAAGATAAATCTCACAGATCTGAAGTGATATCTATTTTCACAAACATGAAATAAGTTTTTCAAATGAATCTTGCACAACTTTGAGAAAGTGAATATATGAGATAAGTGTTACAAACACTTCACTGAGTGTAGACAAGTGAGTAATCTTACATCATACTTCACACACTTCAGTTTACACTATCTCATGTTAAATGAAGAGTTTTCAACATCTTTCTGTTTACAGATCTTCATTCATGATCTCACATCTGAGTTGAGATTGGAATGAAAATGCTTAATCTCACAATCAGACACAGTGAAAGAAGCATACAACATTCTCATTGTATGAGAACAAGCAAGTCAATTGCAACAGAAAATACTGCAATCAAGTATGCCTCAGCAGAGAACAGATAATCAGACTTCTATGACACAAGTCACACACTCAGATGTGATGAATCTAGATCTGAATGCCATTGCTAAAGCACTGAATTCCCTGAAAAAGGAATTCCCTAGGTGAAAACCTTGATATCATGAGCATCAAGCTTGCTTCAACTGCAGACACTAAAATCATGATGCAAAAGATTGCACTCAGCATGCACAGTCAAGAGAAGCAAGAGAGTCAAAAAACTAGCAGAATCAGTGAGCTCAGAGACACTCACTGATATTCTATGAAAAGTCTTCAAAGTGAAAGAGATGCCTGTGTTAGATGACTCTCTGAATCCTGCAAATGCAAAGAAGAAGCAGACTTCTGAATAAGGTGCAGGTGAGGATGATGAAGTGAATACTCATCTCAATGCCTTGAGACCTGAAATGTTAATGTATAGAGAACACTTGAATAAGAATCAAGAGATGGCTGCAAAAGTGTTAGTGAACACAGAAGCTTCTATACAATATATTGATGATTATATAATCTGAAGATTGAAAGAGGTTCATCAAGTGAAGAATTCTCAACACATAAGATTATCTGATAACTGATATTTGATATCATCTGCAAGAGTAAGAGTTCTCTTACACTTCAGAGAATGATCTTGCTATATTTAGACGCGAGAGCTGCAGAATGTGAAATACAACCTTATTCTCAGACTTGATTGATTTCAAAGGTTCAATCCACAGATTCAATGATGTACATGCCATATGCAGTTGACTGATAGGAAGAAAATGATTCATACAATTCTATCAACTGATATGAGAAGGACATTCCATGCCCCTGATATAGAAGAGTTAAATCTGCTTATACACTAATAAGTAAAGAGAATGATTTGCAAGACCTCATCTAAAAGCATTCTGTATGTCATACAGGACTCAGAAGTGAAGAAAACCAAGATAAAGAATATACAGAAGAACAAGTGTATGAAGAAGCTTCTGAAGAAGCATAGAAAGGTCTTCTGAACAGACCTTTCACTGGAATTGCTGCTGAAACAAGGATTTGTACATGAGATTGACACAGGGGATGCAAAATCAGTCAATCAGAACATATACTCTCTGTCATAAATGCATCTTGAAGAACAGAAGTGTCAGATCACTGACCTTCTAGAATGTGATCTTATATGACTCTTATCAAGCGCATGGGGCTTTCCAGTTCTATTTATGAAAAAGATGAATGAAGAGTGACAGATGTGTATCAATTATTAAGCACTTAACAAGCTTATGATCAAGAATGAATATTCACTGTCATGAATTCAACAACAGTTGAATACAGTTGGAAATGCCTGATATCTATTAAAGATTGATCTTCTCTCAGAATACTGGCAGATTCATGTAGATGAACTGTCAGTTCTGTGAATCACATTTAATACACAATGAGAGAAGTTTGAATTCCTAGCAATGCTATTCAGTCTGACAAATGCACCTGTCATCTTTCAAATGATGATGAATATAATTCTTTATAAACAGAATGAAACCTCATGTCTCATATATCTTGATAACATTCTAGTCTTTTCAAACTCATACAATGAATATCTGAAGCATCTTGATAAAGTGTTTATAACTCTGACAGAGTATAAGCTCTACATCAAATGAATCAAGTGTGTGTTTGAAATGAAAGAGTTGAAGTTTATGAGACATGTAGTGAGTGATGACTGTATACACTTCATTCTGGAGAAATTGAATGTCATAGCAAATTGACTGTGACTGAGAAACATACATCATGTATAACAGTTTCTTGAATTGATCTCATATTACTGCAGATTCATCAAGGATTTTGCATGAATATCTGCACTACTCTTGAATCTCTTAAGAGAAACAGATGCAAATCTGTGAAAGAAGAAGTTTTATTCAATCATCTGAAATATTACATGTGAAGAGGCTTTTCTCACACTGAGAGAATGTGTAACAACATTCTCAGTGCTTATTCAATCAGATTGTAATAAACCTTTCTACATTGAGATGAACACATCTGAATGAGCTATCAGAGGCACTCTTCTACAGATGAGCAAGAACAGCAAGCTGCACCTGGTGATATATAATAGTAGAAAACTATTGAGTGCTGAGCTCAATTATTCAGTGCATGAAAAGAAATTGCTAGCAATCAAGCACATGCTGGCATTGTGAGATAGATATATCAATAACAGACATATGACAACAATGATCACAGATCATGAAAGCCTCATCTATCTATAATCAATAATAAAATCTTTCAAATGCTTAGCATGTTGAATCTCAGAGTTTCAAGCATACAATCTTCATATCAAATACTGAAAAGAATTGAACACAGTGATGTCTGATGCAATCAGTTGCAGATCTGATTTCATGAATGAGAATTCTATGAACCAGGTACAAGGAATGTTCGCGTTAAACACACTGAGAGAATACAAGAAATCAGAATGAGTGAATGCCATGATCTCTTGCTTGAAGAATGACAAGATGTCAGATGACAAGTGTCTCATGAAAGTAGTAGAAGAGATGCTTCTGAACTTCAAGCTGGGAAAATTGAAAAACAATGTTGTGCTTTATCATGATCTAGAATATGCAGAAGCTTCCTATCTAGAATCTTCATTTTGATATGACTTGATGGCTCACATGCACAAGGAATTCAGTCACTTAGAAAGCTCTGAACTCATGAGTGTACTCAAATCAAGAGTGTACTGGCCAAGCATGGCCGAGGACATTCAGATGTATGCTCACAAGTGCCTGAATTGCCAGGTTATGAAAGGATTGAAGAAAGGATTAGAATATGAGAAAGCACAACACCAGGTGAAGTGTATAATACAACTGTTCAAATGATGAAGAATGAACCTCATAGATATATTACTGTGAATGTCAAATGAAAATCAATGAATAATCACTGCTATTAATTATGCTACTGACTGGTCAGTTGTGAAAGCAGTTTCAGAGATGATAGAGAAGGTAATGACAAAGTTTCTACATGATGAGATCTATGTCAACTATGAAATGCCACATGAGATTCTAACTGATAATGATGTGAATCTCATAGAAGGAGCAGTGAGGCATTTCATGAGCCAGTTACAGACAAGACATTGTAGAACAATGTCATATCATCCACAGATGAACAGAAAGATGAAACACTTGAATAAAATCTTGAGCAACATGCTGATGAAATATCTAGTGAGCAAGCCTATGAGACTATGAGATGAATATCTCAGACAGGTGCTGTTAATCACACAGATTTGACAGCATGCAGTCTTCAAGTGTTCATTATTCTACCTGTTGTTTGAATTGCATCCGCACATTCTGAAGAATGCTTTGAAAAAGGTGAGAGAGAAAGCAGTTGCAGATGCAGCAGGAACAGCAGTTGCAGATACAACAGTCACAGATGCAGAATCAAGATTGAAAGAGATCAGCCACACACATACAAAAGCTAATGAGTTACTCCTGAACTGAGCAATTCAATTGAAAAGAATATGAGACTCACTTATTAAGAAATCAAGTCTCAAGATGAGAATGTGAGTTCTTGTACACAATGAGGATTCTGAGAAGTTTCAACCTAGGTGATTTAGATCATATAAAATACTCAAATCACATTCTCTGAGAATGTACACATTGAAAGAATCAGAGAGATGAGTCTTACACAACTTAATCAATGATTCACAACTTGTAAAAGTAAGAGTGCAAGACCTGAGTGAATTATAATCATCTGCAACACTATTATCAGTGTTGAAAAAGAAGAGACTTATAATTGAAAAGTCTTATGAAGTAAGAGAAATCATAGATGCTTATAAATCAGATAATCTTACTTATTCTGATCTTTTCACAATTATAAGAAAAGAATGAAAAGAAATGAAGAAATCAGATGAACATCACACTTCAATAAGTAATAAGACTGTAGCTGATTGTATAATAACACATCACAGACAGCAGATGCAACACAGTAAAGAGTGATCTCAAAGTAGCAGACTTGCATGTGAATCAGGTTACAGAAGAAAAAGAAATTCAGAGTTGAATTTAACTGTTTACATCAGTTCAATTGTGAAGATCACAGAGAATGAACTATCTGAAACATCTGTGAATGTGTGAAACCAAGTCATCTTGACCCCTGAGAATGCTCAGAGATTGGGTGAGGTTAGTTTTGATGAACTGTTCACTGTAGTGATCTGAGTGAGTGAAGAGAGACAGTATAATGTGTGAGACAGAATCACAAAGATGAAAGCTGCTGAACCTAGTCACTGAACACTGTACTATATAGAGGTTGTGTAAGAGTAGTGACTAGCAGATAAAGAAAAAGTGTAAGAAAAAGAAAAGAAATAATGAATTGATTATCAACTGTAAGAGTCAGCTGTAAAAAGACAAATATTATCATACACATCTCATTCATTTTCATACATCACACATTTAATCTATTTCCAACACCACACCACCTGAAAAACATCAAAAACAAAGGAAATCTCAAAACTCAAGATCTGCAAGGAATTC